CAAAAAGGTTTTGTCTTCTTCAGGTGATGACAAAACCTTGTCGAAACGTTGTACATTTGCTGTCATGTTAAACTTATATTAAAGTTTTTCTTCATTACCCATTTAAGCCGTCTCCAGCCATTATTAGTCTCAAAGTGGGTTCCTCGTCATCGAAGATAGACCATTGTTTAGCTCTGTGTTTAACAATAACCAAACCAAATCATAAAACAATGTAAATAGATCACAGATTGTAAGATATGATTTTGTCGCGTCATTTTGTTGCCTATTGTCGTAATTTGCAAATATGTGCAGTCCATTTGTATTATCTACTATTATAAAATACCCACGCTCTGCTACGAGATTCTAAGGTCTCCTCATGATCCATAGAGGCCTCAATGTACCAGTTAAGCGTCTCCATTATCTTAATTACTTCTATAGCTACCCCAATGCACCAATTCTTTAATTGATTCGTCTGTTGCCTTTTACCGTACATAATTTAATTCAACTCTTTCTAAAAGCAAATAGTTTTAATTTAGCTTCTCAAATTCGTGTTTTTCTTTTATTTCAATTCTTTTCATCCTCCAAATTCTCCAATATTCTCTGATTCATATTTTTCTTCTCGTTGTTTGTTGCCTTTTCCCAAACTTAGTTCAATACAATTTTTTTTTTGCCGCAGCATAGCGGCTCATAGAATGGCTCTGAGATTTTTTCAAGTACAAACTTTTACATGAGTGATAAAATCGAATTTGGTATACGCTCGACCTGCGCTTGGCATTGCTGGTGCATAAAAATATAGCTAATAAAAATGGGGGAACAAAAGGTCACATAGATTAAATTACTCTAACCTGCCGAAAAGAATTTCAAGTGCCGCGGTTATTGAGGATTCCTTAATGTTTAATTCTTAGATTTGTATTTTTCTTCCCATTTTGTGTTGAAAAAGAGTATTTGGCAGAAAACCACCACGTATTGTTCATTCAGTAAGTGAGAATTAGAAAAAAATAAAGATACGTTTCTATAGACCTTCAGGAAGCACAGTTATGGGGCTTAAGAGCTATAGGGCAAAACATTTACTAAATTGTTTTTTTTGAGAGAAATCTAAAAGAAAAAAAAATACCCAGGTGCACACCCTCAGAATCCCCTAAGTATGCGTGCAAAGTTTCAGGTTGTTTCCTCTAGGAGCTATGGCGATCACACACACACACACACTCTCACAGGCTCATTTATTATTACAGATAATCTTTTTCGTCGTCTATAGGATAACCAAGAAAAGTTTTCTAATGCTCAATGTCCAAGTATTTTGTGCGCAAAACAGTTATGCAGATGGTAATTTTGCTGACTGAAAATTCTGTGAATTTTTTGTGTGAAAATCTCTCGCAGCTGATTATGGAAACACTGTGGTGTGATGAACGAATTACAGATTTTCTCCAGAACTTCTTGTCTCCGAGTAATAAAATAGTGGCATAGACAGACAACTTCTATCATCATACTGATAAAGGCTTAATGGGATGTTCAAATACGACGTGACTGCAAATTCTACGCTAAACACACATACACACATACTCACTTAGTAAATTAAGTCCTTTTTTCGTTAGTCACTTGAGAATTCTTGTCTGTCCAATACACATAACGGCTTCTGTTGGCAAGACCATTAGTAAAGAACAACGTTCCTGTAATATTTTATTTTAGTTCACCTTGTTTGAAGCGTTATTAAAACAAAAAAATTGAGAGAGCGGGCCTATTTTTTTTACCTTACATTGTTATGTCAACATAGTGGTTTGTTTGCTCTTAAGCATAAAAATGCATAATGGGCTATTTGTGCGTTGCCATTCTGCTGGACTCTAACCTTGAATTTTAGCGTTATAAGCCCGCAAGCTTACCGCTGAGCCACCGGGAGCGGCAGAATGGTTAGCGGATGCGATCTGATGAGTATGTTAAAAACGTAGACTATTTTTTATATTACAAATGTTCCTTTAAAACGAAAACAGAATGTGAATCTAAAAATCGCCTCAGTATGTTATAATTTCACCTCCTTTGCTTTGGATTTGTGTGTATTCAATACATGAGAATCTTGGACTCACTTTATGATTTTCTATGCACTTTTCTATCACTTGCTTGTCCTTGTGAGATCATTTGCTAAACGGGCGGTCTCCCGTTAGGCCAGCTGTAGGTTTACGGCCCGACAACGCTAAAATCCAGGGTTCAATTCCACACTATGGAGAGCCGTTAGCCAATAACAACAGCAAGCTTAACACGCAACTTTTCATCTTATAATGGAAAATTTGGGAAAAAAAAAGAAGAAAAGGAAGAAATTAAATAGCAACTTAAAAAAATCCCAGTCAGCTAAAACCACGAAGTAAAGAAGAGTAAGAGTTTTGTCGAGGGGAGACCTAAAATCAAAGTAAATTACTCCTGCTGAAAAGAAAAGGCTGTATTCAAAATTTATGATTTAACTAAATGGTGTATTTTACTTTTTTTTTACTGGTGTATTGTATTAGGTTTTCATGTGAAAGAGGACACTAAAAGGTTACTGAAATTGTAGTTATTGAAACATCACTTGTTATGGAAATAACCGTATAAATTTGAACCAAACATTTGAGTGCTCCCCATAAGGGGGAGGAATATAAGCAAGTTCATATCTGTCTATCTCTTGGTGTTGTGTTGTTATATTACTCATCTTTTTTTTTTCAGAGACAATAAAGAAATCAGGGAAAACTTGGATAAACGGTAATAAAAAATAAATTAATACGTTTAAATGAAAAGTTTATTTATCAGTTTTATTTTGTGCGACGTTTCGTGCAGACGCCCTTCGTCGGGCAGTAATAACCGTGTTACAATGGACGAAGGACATCTGCTCGAAACGTCGCACAAAATAAGACTAGATAAAATTTACATTTAGACCTATTCATTTATTCTTTATTACCATTCATTCAAATTTTTCTTCTCACGACTTGTGGAATAACACTCATTCAAAAAACAGGGAAAGTAACGCAAACAAAACTTTCTAGAATAATTCTGTTTCTTCCTGGTCAAATTATACTTGTTAAGCATTTAGTTTTCAGCAGCCTGCTTTTCCTTATTAATATATCCTATTACACCTACATTTATTGTTAAATATCAGGAAGAGTTTGTTTGTTTGTTTTTATTTGTGCACAAAGCTACACAAGGGCTATCTGTGCTTTGCCCACCACGAGTATCGAAACCCGGTTTCTAGCGTTGTAAGTCTGCAGACATACCGCTGTGCTACTGGGGGGAATCAGGAAGAGAATCTATTCACATTTTTACATAAATTAATGAGTATCTACAGAGTTTCATTATAAAAATATTTCCTATTACATTACAAGACATATGAAAGAAGGAGGGAAGCTGTTTTTACTTATTTGTAATTTCACCCTTGATTTAATATATAAACTTCTCTTCAATTAAGTTGATCTGAAATATGATGATCACAAATTTATGTTTCTCGTAATGCATTATTTTTTGTTGTAAACTGTTTGTTATTACCCAGTTTAATTTACTTTTTGTTCGTTGCTGGTTATTCTATTCGTCTTTCTCTTAAGCCAGTATCTGTTTCAACTTTATCATCTCTTTTTATTTCCTGCGAAAAATGTGAAGTCTCTTTAAAAGCGAATTTCCAAGTATCTTAATCTAATAACACTTACTAGTTTGAATAGAAATGGCGCGGGTGCTGTACATACTGCTCAGAGTAGCAGACTTGGTACTCCATCTATAGGATCTCCGTCGACGCCGATGCCTGCAGCTAAAAACGGCCAGGAAAGCTTCTCTATACTTGATGTGCATGAAGCAGTAGGTAATTGGATTGCAACAAGATGAAAAATAAGCCAAAAGATGGATGATAGAGATTATACTCGGAGAAAGTTTCTGGTAGACAGCGACAGGGTTGAAGAGGGTCCAAGTGTTGATTACAAACAACGGTGTCCAACAAATAAAAAATATTAAAACGATGACAAATAGCATGCGAATTATTCGCTTTTTGGCTACTCGCCCTTTTGTGTAATTTCCTCTCACCACTAGATGGCGATGAACAGTAATTCGAGATCGTGAAGTAACTGTAAAAGTGTTGTAAGCTCTGTTTCCCGCCATTTGAACAATTACTGGTTTTGCACTGTCTTGGCGATTTTGTGGTGCTTTTTGGCTTCGACTGGCTAAAAAGCGAAGTGGAAGATCTACAGTGAAATAAGATAAATGCTCAGGACATTAGATAATAGTGTAGGCCTATCAAAGACACGAGAATTTGAATTAATAACTTTAAACCAAACTGCTTTACAAACGTTGTTTCAAATGATGTAACAAAATGTAATGATGGAAATGAATTTCGTACGAATGAAGAAAGATATTTAACATTTTGAAAACTAAACTTCAATTACAAACTAAATAAAATGAGTTAAAAAACGTCTCAAACGAGTCGTGAATGTCCAGTTAAAATTTAGTTTGAATGTTATTTAGCAAACTTTACATCTTGATATATTTACTTGTTCCTGGCAACTTAAAAACATAGATCTTTATGTTGTTAGTCATACTTAATGAAAACGTGGAGCTCGAATGCAGTTATTTTCTATTTTTCAAAGTTATCCAAACATAATAGGAACTACAAGATCTATTTTAAATTCTTAATTTTACAGCTATCAAAATGCAAAATTTAAAAAACAATTCTAATCTAATCACGAAAAAAAAAAACTATGTTTAGTAGTTCAAAATAACTTTTAAGAATAACATTACACACAGTTGTACAAAAAAGAAAAATTGGAACTTCTTAATTTTGATTTTTTTACTCAATCTTTTCCAAATAATTTTCGTATCAGTAACTTTAAAACTATAAGCAGATGTTTGACCTTTATACTTCCACCAGGGAAATAAATTAGAAGGACGAACTGAAGTTCTTACTACTATGATTAACTTGTTAGACCTTCTTTATAAGTGTATCGTTTTTTAAGTTAAACGTTTTAAGTCAAAGTTTCGACCTAATAAAACACAGAACCTCAACACATCATAAGTGAACAAGTGACATGAAATTCTTCCGAAACATCCATGCTGTTATAGAAATGTATAAAAAATAACTCACCTTCGTTTTCATCCTCTAGATCGACATACAATGTGTGGATGATCAGAAAATACATGAATGTCATGATGACGAGTGGAATAATAAGTAAAGCTGCGTCCAAGTACAGATTAAACACACGTTCTGATGTGACATTTGGCCACACGTCTCGGCATTTATAGCGTCCTATGGAGTTAGAAAATACGTTTTACAGAACATTGCGAATTTATAAAATAATATTTTTTGCATTCTGAAGTAAAAACCCCAAGAAAGCCTAAAAATAAAAAAATCTAATTTTGAAAATCTATGGCAAGAAATAGCAAACAAATATTTCCCCATATTGCTAATAACAAGGAGTTTCATAAAAATAACAAAACCAGAAAATGCTCAATACTGGGATACAAATAGTCAACATATTGATAGAAATAGTTACCATACTTCAATATATAGATATAAACATATCCAGAATATTAAACTCCTTAAACTTTGTAAGTCTAACTGCCTTGAAAGCTTTTACTTCAATCACTTAATTTTCAACTTAAACTCTATCCAACTGATTGACACATGCAAAGTCGCCCTAGAAGGCTCAACTTAGCATATATCATCCGCTAAACTGAAGTATTGTCAATGCTATTTTAAGCAATTAAATTTTTAAGTATAACAGCTGGTTAGTAGCATAAAGGGCGACATCTTAGCCTAATTTTTCAAGTTTTAATCAGGTCTTGACTTTAGTTAGAAAAATAGCTTAGAATATGTGGCAGAGAATGCTCAGGCCTTCTCATGATTTGGTTCTTCTCTTTTATGTCTTTCATCTACCTAGATGTTTTGGGTAAGAATTATTGATGCTTTTATCAAGGCTTGACTTTACCTTGCGACAAAACTACTTGTTCAGAGCTTTTAGGTGAACAATTCTGATGGCTTCGTTAGAACTTTATATCACTACTGTGTGTGTCTGTCATATCTAAATTTGATCAGATTTCTTCAGTGGATTTCGTCTAGTTTGACTCTTTCTATGGTTATTATAGAAACTGTCAAGTCAAATTGCATGGATCATCACCGATGTTTGATTGCTACTTGCTTTCTTGCAATGTTGGCGATAGTAAGTAATTTTAGTACCAGCGCAATAAGACCATTGAAAATGTTCTGTATGTTTCAATTCAAAATCTAACTTCGAAAAGTATCTTGAGTCAGGAAAACAGTAACTGATAGAGCCGAAAACATGTGATCATTCGACATTATTATTATGCAATAGCATCTGTATCTGCATTGGTCACGCTATCACCTGGCCCTTCGTACAGTTGCGTACTTTACATATGTCGTTGTGCACAAATTCTTGGTCACGTTATCACCTGGCCCTTCGTGCAGTTGCGTACTTTACATATGTCGATGTGCCCAAATTCTTGGTCAGGCTATCACCTGGCCCTTCGTACAGTTGCGTACTTTACATATGTCGTTGTGCACAAATTCTTGGTCAGGCTATCACCTGGCCCTTCGTACAGTTGCGTACTTTACATATGTCGTTGTGCACAAATTCTTGGTCACGCTATCACCTGGCCCTTCGTACAGTTGCGTACTTTACATATGTCGATGTGCACAAATTCTTGGTCACGCTATCACCTGGCCCTTCGTACAGTTGCGTACTTTACATATGTCGATGTGCCCAAATTCTTGGTCAGGCTATCACCTGGCCCTTCGTACAGTTGCGTACTTTACATATGTTGTTGTGCTCAAATTATTGGTCACGCTATCACCTAGCCCTTCGTACAGTTGCATACAATTTGAATTTGTCGTTGTGGACAAGTTATTTGGACTAACAGCAGGCCCTAATAATTTCCGTTTATAGTTTATTTTGCAAAAAAGAGTCGAAGAAGTTATATTATCCATGTAAAATGGCCGAATTCGTGTAATGAAAACATATGATTGAATTCTTGGGGTCAGCAATACTTCTCTTTTAAGTATAGAAATCTTTATCAAAATTTGCCTGAAAATTTGATAATTTTAAGAAAGAAATACAATTTTTGAAGTTCTATTCACGAGTACGCCTGTTATACACAGCCCACCAATAAATAAATAAACATCTCTGAAAATACAAAGCGACCATCTTCATAACATCATATACAAATAAACCAGGCGTATAAATATAGGTAAATATCGGTAAAGACTACATAATACAAACAACTACGCCACGAACGAAATGATTACGGGAATTAACAGTATTTTCATGAGTTCGTATAAGTGAACGATAGGAAGGTGGTCAAAATCAGCGTTAAATCGCCAAATCACTAGCCATACTGCAGTCCACAACGATTAGGGCGACAACATAGCTCCATTCACGTTTCTGCACATCTAGCTGCAAAACAGGCGTAATTATGCCTCAGTACTATTAAATGCTATATTCATAGAGAAGTGGCGAAAAGGAAGTTGCCTCTAACTCCAGACGTCATCGTACATCTACAGCAGTGAAGAACCGAACAAAGAATAACATCGTGTGAAATGAGATACTTCTGTAAAGCTGTCGATAAGACCAGCATAGATAAAGTGAGAAATGAAACAATCAGACAGCAGTTTGGAGTGAAATAAATACTGAAGCATATAGAAAACCAGAACATGGTGCCAATGAACCCAGAGCAGCTACCAGCAACACTATGAAATTTTCAATTAACAGGAAACGTTGGATCGATGGTATCAAAGAAACAGCCAAAAACATGAGACTAACAACTGCTGAGATGTCACACCTTTCTCTGGAAGAACGTTTGCACTGAAAGGCATAAGTAGAGGACAACAGAAAGAAATAAGGCAGTAATGGGCATCACAGACGCTATCACACCTTCCCGCCTTTTTGACAGTTTTTATCTGAAGAGTCCATCCAGATTTGTACAATTTCCTCAAAATAAACTCGCCTGGGTTTGGTGATTATCATATCGAATAACATTCTTTGAACCATCTTAAAGCCTTCTTTTCTGAGATACCTTTTGGGCAGCTGAGGGATCATAGTTGGAGCGTAATAAAGCATTGGTACCCGAATTTTCTCAGCAAAAGAGCTTCCTAGAACATTCCGGACCCTGACTGAAGGTCTCACTCAACGAATCTAAATATTGTCGGTGTTGTGTATTTACTAAGACTCTCCTGACGCTTTCCTACGTCCCCCAATTTGAGAATCTTTATACTAAGGAACGGCCACTTGCTACACGATACACTACAGTTCTCGAAAAACACCCTTTCTCTTTCTATTTTACATTTTGCCATTTTTTTCGCCTACGCATTTATTTTACTATTCCTAACTTTCTATATCAATGACCAGCTTACCAGACAAGGCAGTGTTTTCTTGCAAGATGGGCCTCCTGCTTGTTCAAGTCTAGTAACAAAACTATGACCTGAAGGTCAGGACACTATCACTCTCCCATGGCCTAGCCAATCAACGGATATGAACCTTATTAAGCAAGTGGGGTCCATCCTTAAACGTTCCTTGCAAAAGTGTTTTAAAAAAAAACAGCTTTTACTACTTTCACCCATGTTCTTTGGCACGAGTGGGGCGCAATCCCGCAGGCCAGATTTCAAAATGTCATTCCTAATAATAAACCACCATCTATCACCGACTATTTACTTTTTCTAGCTCTACAGATGAATAAGTAGACTGCATCACTAGGTGGTTGCTTGTTCGTATATTTAAAAGACATATTCCTAATAGATGTTAGGGTTCAGTGATTATTAATTACATGGTATGTCTATATGAAGGGTGATGTTGCTATGAGCTTTGTGGTAGTTATTGGAGTGACGTAAAAATGACAATCGTGCGTTCGAGAGAATCTTGTAATTATTAAACAGAAGCAGATTGAAAACCAACAAATTAGCCATCCCGCTTTTTCTACTAAACCTTTTCCATTTCTAAATTCTCTAAGTTACTTACACATTCTTTGTTCGTCACTTTACACAACACAAACGTATTTTTTATATTATTCCCGAATTGGAATAATGTTCTAGAACCTGAAGTTTTGCAACCTCACTTTGAGGTTAAAAACACAAAAACAATCTAATTTACGGCTAAACTTGTTGAAATACTCTCGTTCATGTTTTCTTCGTATTTACTCCATGATATCCCGTATATGGAAAGAAATAACATTGCTACATCGTACAATGAACGGTACAGATGGTCGTTAGATAACCTATTAACCAGTAATTTACAGAAGTTCGCGTGTAGCTATTTTTTGTAGCATATTTTTGTTATTCCTCAATTCTTCACAAAAAAATCCATCATTATAATTGATTTTATTAGCATTTTGAGTAAATTATTCACCACATTAACCCAGACTACTAAAAACGAGCGTAAAGTTCAGACAAAAAATTGGTTTGTTGTGTAATCACCTGTTTCTTCACAGAAATATTTATCAACGTATTATAAGAAAAATATATACAAGTATTTTTATTTTTGGACATTCGTCTTTAAATTTAACATGAATATTTACAATTAAAGTTGGTCAAATACTTGTTAACCTGTTCAGAATTCTTAGAGAACATGATAGTTAGATCAGCATATGTAAAGTGATACAAAAGTTTAAACTTTTGACAAAAATCTTTTAACCAAGTTTATTTTATGAAAAATATATAGAGAATAAAAAAAGCTGAAGTAGCAGATAATCTAGAACTTATGGCAATACCATCAAACTGACCATACACAACTCTACTTAATAACAAGTGGGACCTTTGTATTGAGACTTACATTAATTTAATAAACATGTATTGGTCAATATATTCTATTGCAAACATATATATTTCTGTTTGTAAAGAAAACAAGTTATATATATATTACTCTCAAACATTACTTCAAAGTATGCTAATACTAAGTGTAATAGTTTCAGCTGATGGTACACAAGGAAAAAGTTATTGTTTGTTTTGAATTTTACACAAAGCTACTAAAGGGATATCTGCGCTAACCTAACCGTCCCAAGTTTAACACTGATATATTAGAGGAAATGCAGCTAGTCAACACCACCCACCGCTAACTCTTGGCCGTTCTTTTACTAATGAATAGTAGGATTGACCGTCACATCATAACGCCCCCACGGCTGAAAGGGCGAGCATGTTCGGTGACGGGGATTCGAACTCGCGACCCACAGATTGTTAGGCGAGCACTCTAATCACCAGGCTATGCCAGTCCTTAAGAAAAAGTCATTCAAAATCCAAACTAG